AAAGCGAGAAAAATAAAAGAAGATCTGATAGACATGTTCAAATATCTGAAGTGTTATCATGCAGGATGGAACTAGCTTGTTTTCTGCTGTTCCAGAAGGGAAGATCTGAACCAGTGAATTGCCTTGGAAAAAGCCAAACTCTCCTGCACTATGGTTTTTCAAACAGAAGCTTCAAAGATATCTATAAGTGGTGTTTTAGCTGTAATTTCCTGCAGCAGCAATAACCAGACGAGATAAGCCTTGGCATCACTGCCAATTATACTATTCTGTGATTTTATGACTTCAGTGCTCCCCATTACTGGTCTGCAGCCCTCTATACCTCCTAGCATACTGACTGGTACAACAGTTGCAATCCTACCTGGACACAAATATGCATCACTTAAACTCAGCTATCTCCCATTCATATCATTACAGTGTATTGTACCTGGGCATGATTTTCAAAACCTGCCTTGAAACTCCAGCTGGTACCAAATATAACTGCTAGCGTGCCAGGTGTTATAAACATTACAATACTTCATTTTGCACTGGGTCCCAGTCTATTTCTGGGTCCAGTTCAAAATATTGGCTGTGATTTTTGAAGTCCTTCATGTTTAGAGATCATGTTATTGGCAAATCTTTGTCCACCCTTGTCTACCTCAACTCTGAGATGCTCATCAGATTCCCTTCATCAAGTGTTCCCATCTAGAAAGGCAAGGTGGGTGGCACTGAGAGAGCCTTTGAAGAAGTGATCACTCAAAAATTGCCTGCCTGTCACCTCTTCTAATGTCTTCTGAAGCTAAACAAATGAGCTTTTAATTTCCCAGGCCTTTTGAACAATCTTGTGGTTTTAATGTTATTTAGTTCTGTGTATTTTTATCCCTTTGCTGTTTTAATTAATTTCTCCTTAAACTGACTGTTTTGCTTATTGTTGTGGGGTTTGTCTGTTTTTACTGTATATGCTTTGCACCCCACCCAGAGAATATGTTACAACACAAAACACAACTAATGTAAATAAACAAAAAAAGATACATATCACGATTGCTACAAATGTCTACTTTTCAAACTCTTACAAGTCTCTCTTTAGAAACAAAGAACTCTAAATATATGCCTAAACTGTTTTGACTGAGTTTCCCAGGGATCTTGAACTCAAAAGATGTACTTTTTCTTTGAAGGTACAGTTCAGTCTTACAGCCAGAAATATGTACTTGGACTATGTAAGAATTACACATCTTCAAGAGGAGTTTCCTACTCCTGTATTTCTGCACGTCATTTGACTAGCTTCCACATGGGAAGAAGCAAGCTTTAAGCAGTACTATATAGTGAGGGTACCAACACTTCCAATGGGTAGATAGTCATGCACAGTTACTGCTAGCATAGGTTACAACAACAACTGCTAACCTCAAAGGAGGATATCTGGAAGAAGGGACACCCAGAGTTTACACAGACACATAGCATAAGCTTAGGAAGCCTTTATCTAAAATACTTCTTACAACACCCTGGTAGGTAACTCAGGGTATAAAGTTAAGAAATTGCTGTGTTGACACACCTTTCGGAAGAGCCAGAAAGCTGATGTTTAGGAAATAGAATCCCCGTTTTTACGTTTAAGCAGCCAAAGCTTGGTGCGTAATCTTTCCTCATGAAAGAAACCAGCATTCCAGCACACCTTGAGCCAAGCTATACACTGGATGCAATGTATAAATTTTATTACCAGTTCACACACGGACAACCTCTCAGAAACAAACCTCCATGTCTCCTTAAGTTCTGATTAGGGAAACCGTTTTTCTTCTTACAGTCCTAGATTACTGACATACCAATTTAAGAGTTTTTAATTACTATAACTATACACATGTCTTCTCCACTTTAGAACAGCTTCAAACTAAACTATGTATATCTAAACTTTAAGACTATGTTAGTTAAAAAAAAAACCGTCACAAGGCACAATCTAGACACATTTTAGAGAATTTAAAACAGCACTGTATTCACCCTGATTCTGATTTTCAATATTTTCTATGCTTGCAATCATCCAAAACCAAGTTGTGATTCATAATGAATCAGTCTTTCTAATAGCAGCACTCTCTGGATATTTTAGACTACAACTTTCATCGGCTTCAGCCAGCTTGGGCAAGGGTCAGGGATGTCATGAGATGCAGTCCAAAAGAGTCTGAAGTATAGGCCAAGATGCATGTTTTAGCTGACATAAGTAGTTCCATCAACAGACCTGGTGTGGACTTATTTTATTTCCCAACCTCAGCCCTCATACATCCTGAGGATCAACTTGGGGAGAGAGGTCCTTTTGAAGGTGTAAGTGGGTACCACTCACTCCCAGTTCCACCAACAGAATTTCTTAACTCAGTGCAATGTTCTCAATAAATTCTGAGCCCAGCATGCAGGCCAGAAGTATAATCAAAAAACTAGTCTCATTTGCTTGTGCATAAAATCAGATTTCTTTACAGTAGAGTAATAAATAAAAACTACTTTATTTCAACATTTACAATGTGGATCCCTTTAAAAATTGCTATTATGTGCTATCATGTCAATTCCCACTACTGTAATAGCAAGCCTAATACAGTTTTCAAGGTAAGTGGGATGTTTGCTATTGCCACCCCTCCCCAGTGAGTTTCCATAGGCAAGTTCAAATATGAACCCAGATCACTCGATTCCCAGTCCAACATGCTATACATGACTACACTACACTGGTTCTCATCCATCATGAGCTGTACATATCTTCTGCACAAAGATACAAGCAGGAATGTGTAACAGCTATCCCTTCTATTCCATCTCACTTTTTTTTCCAGATGCACATTTAATAGCTTCAATTATAAGCCAGAGCCACAAGATGTACAGCTATGGAAGGAAATTATGTACATCACAAGCTGAAAACAGTGTGTGGAAAATAAAATCAACAAGAGGAATGAGTTAACAGCTTCATCTCTAGCATCAAGAAATGAATGAGGATATGGGGAAATGCATACTACAGGGCTTTTGAGTTTAGATTTTTTTTTTCCAAACAGCAAAAAAACCCAGTTTCTTTGTCTGTGACCACAAAATACACACTATTGCTACTACTATTACTTTTTTAAATATCTTAACATGAGTCACTCCTAATACACAAATGGTTTTAACACAGTAGCTTCATACAGTGCAGGCTCTCTATCCTCAACAACATGTTGCCTGCAGTTAATATACCTTACTTACAGTAGAATAAAAAGCCTCTTATGTAGGCATCTCATTAACCTTTCACTAACTTAGCATCAGTCTACACAGCCCTATGCAAGTTCACCTAGAAAGAGGCTCCATTGGGGCACAGCAAAATTTTAGTTCAGAGTAAAACATGCACAGGATCCCACTGCACACTCTAGCAATGCCAGTGAGACACAAAGTGCACACCATGGAACTGAACTGAACTTGAGGATCAGCGACATCCTGGAGCGATTTCCACTAGCAAAACCCACACTTCCTCCCCGCAAAAAGAAAGAAAGAAAGAAAGAAAGAAAGAAAGAAAGAAAGAAAGAAAGAAAGAAAGAAAGAAAGAAAGAAAGAAAGAAAGAAAGAAAGAAAGAAAGAAAGAAAGAAAGAAAAGAGGCTCCATTGGGGCACAGCAAAATTTTAGTTCAGAGTAAAACATGCACAGGATCCCACTGCACACTCTAGCAATGCCAGTGAGACAGAAAGTGCACACCATGGAACTGAACTGAACTTGAGGATCAGCGACATCCTGGAGCGATTTCCACTAGCAAAACCCACACTTCCTCCCCGCAAAAAGAAAGAAAGAAAGAAAGAAAGAAAGAAAGAAAGAAAGAAAGAAAGAAAAGAAAAGAAAAGAAAAGAAAAAAGAAAGTAGGGCCCGTGTTCTATAAGGATTTCAGAAAAGCAGCCACGTGCTCTTTGTAGGCAAACACTTTGGCTTCTGCTCTTTCCCCCTCATTTCCACAGATCGCAACAGTATTTCTCTCCCCAAAGTCAATCACTGCAGGGAGTCAAGAGGGAGGGGATCCTGGCGAAGCATTCATTGATGAATACCAAACCGAGGAATCGATTTCGCAGTGGCTTCCCTCTCCCTCCCGTGCAGCGTAGTATACTGTACAGAGGGCACTCAGTAGTCAGCGCCTGCTTACAGAGAGGTGTGCAGTGGCCTCTGCTGGCGCACCAAACGTGTCCAATACGGCAGGACTCTTACAAGTGGAATTGGGCCTCTTTTTCTTTCTCTACCACCCCCTTTCAACACCGCGGGTGGGGGGGGGGAGAAAAGGTCCTTCTGAATAGCCAGGAACAGATTTATGTCAGAGCCACCGCTTCTCCAAAACCTCTTGGTAAACTCACTCTTTTTCCCCCCTCTTTTTTTTCTCTCTGTCCTTCCTTTCACATACACAAGCAGAGCTTGCTTGGATCTCAGAGTCCTTTCTGGGTTTTTTTTCCTTTTTGCAAAGGTTTAAAGGACCCAACACACAACCAGAGGCCAAAGGCAAGGCCAGGGAAAAGAAAGGGAAGAGGAAAGGAAGGGAAGAGGAAAGGAAGAGGGGGGTGTTAAGGAAATCACTGCCCGCTCCGAGCGCGCTGCACCAGGCCACCGCCGTCTCGGCTTGCCGCAGCAACAGCCTCTCGTCTTCCCCAGCAATGCTCTCTCTCCCC